TCTTCCTCGTCATATTTCAGGTAACTTGGTTTGGCACATTGACATGTAGAGGGAATCAATACATCTCTTTCATTTTAAAAAAAAAAAAAACTTATTTTCAATTATAAAAGGAATGCATGCTTATTTACAGAAAAGTTTTAATAATACAAAAGTTTACAAAAGAAAATGTTAGTATTTGGAGGCCACCATGTATTCTTAGTTCTGTGCTGTGTACTTAGTATTGAAATGTCTGTTTCATATTTAATTATTCCCTATTGTTGATTTAAATGATTGTTAGCAAAATTGTCATCAGGATGCAAAACAGTGTCCTCTTAACATTTCTGATTATTTTCCCAGAATAGAGACCCAAAAGTAATATTATAGAAGAATTTAGACATTGAATCATTATGTATTGCCCAAAAGGATGCACCAATTCAAATTATTACTGGTTTCCTTTTCTAGATTACAATATTCAGTGAATCATGAGAGTTAGGAGCACACAGCTCAAAGACTGGGTGGAACAGGCCATACTTGGAAGTCTCTGTCATGAGTTTTTTTCCGAAGTATAAAATTACCCCTCTAATACTTCATCTTCATTCCTCCTTTCCAGCGTTTTATCATGATCTTGACTGAGCACTTAGTACGATGTGAAACTGACGGAACCAGTGTATTGACACCATGGTACAAGAACTGTATAGAGAGGCTCCAGCAGATCTTCCTGCAGGTTTGTGAGGAACATTGTTTATGATAAATACTATATTCTCAGCCACAAAGGTTTCCTCACCAAATTTTTAAGGAGGTTATGTAGTAACCTGTAGGCCCTTTAGTTAATTCCATTTGCTGCTATTCATCAGAATATTTATATTTAAATTGGCTTATTATCACATAGACTCCCAATTGAAATTTTCTATGCTAAGGATCTCAAATGTAATCTAAAATAGATTAAAAAAATAAAAACTAAGCAAATAGTAATTGGTTTTATAAAAGTACTTAAAAATCTCATGTTCAGATGATAAACAGTGATTACAGAAGCAAGGTAAGCTGAGGTCTCTTCACATAAGAAACCTGTTAGCACCTGCTCTCGGCTAGATTTAAGTTAGAATGTGGAGCTGATTCTTTGTAACTTCAGACACTAATCTTCATTTGTTTGTTCTAGAAAAATCATGAATGCAAAAGTCATTAGGAGTTCCTCTAGATTTTTTTCTTATTCACTACCAATTTAAAAAGTTTTAAGCTGTAAGAATCCCTAAGTATACTCAAGTCCACCTAGAAACACATAAAAGAGTGTTTTTGTTGTTGTTTTCTGAAATTTTTATCTTCCTCAGTTAGTCAATGTCTGGGCTGATTTTTAAAAAGTCCTAAAATATTATGTCCTGACCAGTCTATACTAGTGATAGCCACACACAAGAGCCACTGCCACAGTGTGGCATCATGAGTTACACTTTGGACAGGCTGGTAATGACTGCGTTGTTTAGAAAAGCTGTTGGACACCCCTTTTTTCACATCTCCCTGTACGTTTTCTTAATGCTGGGCTTTTGAAGAGTCTGTTATTCCCGTGAGCCTGAACTACTTGCCTTTTCCTACTTCCTCTTCTCATTTCACAGCATGGGTGGGCTGCTGAGGTAGATGTTATCCATGATTGTTTACTTGCTATGACTGACCTGAACACCACTTTTCTGTGTCTACAGCATCATCAGATAATCCAGCAATATATGGTGACCCTGGAGAACCTTCTCTTCACTGCTGAATTAGACCCTCATATCCTGGCTGTGTTCCAGCAGTTCTGTGCTCTGCAGGCCTAAGGGTCATATTTTTTTTTCCCTCGTGTCAAGGTTTTTTGTTTTTTTTTAATATCTTAAAATAATTTGTCTTATTTTTTATGGTTTGAAGGCTTGGTTTCTTATAATAGCCTTCACTTCTTAAAGGAAACAAAGGGGAAGAAGGACAATGAGGAATATGGAAGTACCTTTAATTTCCCTTAAAAAGCAAATATTTCTTAATGATAACAATGTGACAATGACCATGATGTATTATATGTGACAGATACAACTTTTCTGTGATCATTTGATATGTTTTCTCCTTACGGCACAAAACGACAGATTTGAGGTATGTGAAACACTAGAGGTCAACCTTGCGTTATAAAGTAGTAAATAGAACTGATGGATTTATTACCAGCTAGCATAGCTTTTCACAGCTCATGGATAACCTGACATGGCTGAAATAAAACTAAAAGTATGTTTTTTAATCTTGGTTATTTCATGATTTACCATCTTAGTTTACTTTTTAAATTAATGATTTACTGTTGAAGGCACACTTTCATACTGTTTGAAATTTTCTCTTCAAAATATTTTTCTTAAGTATTTTGAGATACTATTAGTATGTAAAAGTGTTACTATTTTAAGTAGTGATACCCAAATTTGTCCATACCAACTTACCTAGGAATCTGAAGTTACTTAAACAATCTCCAGAGGTAGAAGCTGGACACCATCTTAAAGCTCCCTAGTTGTTTCCAGTTGGAGAACGATGATCTTAGAGCATCAGGTCATTGCCTGTTGCCTCTGAGAGGGATTTGTCCAAGATCATGTAGCAAACCACATGCTATAGTGGAACTGGACACAGATTAGCTAAAACTGTATTTAGATGTCAGCTTGGGTTTTATCTCCATGTGTCTTGATTCAAATAACTAATTCCTGAGGTTTTTTTCCCTATGTGGTATTGAGACTTAAGAGCATTTTGTAAAATAATGTATCTGTATATAAGGAATTCTCTGACATTTCAAAGTTGTGGGATTTTTAGTCTTTTTTCACTAAAACAATAATAATTCTATAGTTACTGGTAATATTTTTGTGCATCTGCACACCAAAAAAAAGTATAGTAACTTTTTAAACTTATTACATCCTAAGTGTATGATGCATTGAGCATTTTCCATGTTTTGATATATGGTCATATTAGTTTGCTATACATTTTGGTGGCTATGAAACAGTCCATTTAATAGATGGGAATTCCTAGGATTTTAAATACCATACTATTTAAGGAAGGAAATCTTAGGTATACTGTTCTTCTTTCCCATTGCTTTACCACAGCACACAGTATGTAGTTTCAAGTGGCTTCTGTTCACAAGAAGCCAGTGGATAACGTTTCAGGCTCTGATGACTATTTGATCTTAAACTGCTTTGTAATACTTCCACATTGCCTAGCATAGGTTAGCTAGCTATACTTGGTCCACATTCTAGAGACATTTGTAGGTGTTCATGTTCATTTCCTTTCTCTTGATCCTCTTTTCATGTATAATGGTTGCTTCTAATAGTTCCTTCATGGATGGGACTCTGCTTTACCTAGTACAACAGCTATGCATATGGAAAAACTGAACCTAGCAACTGAATTTTGAAGAAATAAAGGTGCAAGAGCAAACATTCAGCAATTGCTTTCCACACTAAGGAAGCTTACACAGACAAAAAAATGGCATGTCACTGTACCTCCTACCTTGCAATGAATCAATATTCTGTTAAATTGTACTGGTGCCATTTAACATGTATTTGTCAATATACTGATGACATACACTGTTTTTCCTAAAATATAGTTAGACCTGAAAGTGAAAGATGACATGAAGCCTTGCCATGTAGATAGCTGGATACCAGGACTATTTTAAATAAGAATGAATAGAAGCAAACCTCAGCTAGACAAATCTGTGTATTGGCCTAGATTAGTGCTTATTAACTAGTGGCGGTTATGTGCCAGTTGTTAGATTAATCCTCACAGCAGTGCTCTGAAAGATGATTATACCTCCCTTCACAGATAAAAATAGGCCTATGGAGAAATTTGCCCAAGGTGTCCACGGCTAGGAAGTGGAATTTGTACTTGGCTTCATCTGGCCCCAAGAGCTTTATCCCCCACAATGCAGTAATGCTCTTAGCAGCCGCCTGAACAGCTAGTTACTCTCTTGTCAAAGGAGAAGGTTTTATCCAATCACAGAAATCTGGCTGCCCATTGAGTCAGTTTTACTGAACTATAATATTTAGTATAGCACATATGAAAAGTCAATACTTGAGAAATACACTGAACATTCCTGTTTTTATTACGTAGAGAACAATTAGTAATTATAGCCTCAAGCACCTAATTACTTGGGTTTGAGTTGTTTTGACTTTGGTCTTTCTCCAAGCAAATCTAAGGAGAAGAAGGAATGCATGAACCCTGTTTATAGTGACAGGATAAAAATCATGTCAAATAATTTGAAAAATATCCAGTTTATCTCAACTTGAATTTTTGTCTATAATTATGCATAGATCCTATAGTCAAACTATTTGATGATCTTTGAACAAGATTAAAGGAAATTCCAATTAGCTAAACTTAATCCAAATGCTTGGGGTAAAGTGAGGTTGTAGGCTGTGATCTCCTCCCTTAGAAGCATGGAAGCTAAATAAGAAGTGCTATAAGAAGCAAGTTGCCTTCCCTCCCAGGATCAAAATCAGAATATCTATAAGGCACTCAGCAGTACTTAGGTAAACTAATATCTTTGATCAACAGTCAGATATTCAACCTTCAAAGAAGCTGCTTTCCATTTTAATTCAGCATTTGAGAAGAGCTGTCTGTTTGAACACTTACACGAAGGTCTGCAGTAGTAAGCCCTTAGTGAAAACATGACCAGAATCCTGCAATTTGTTTATTCTTGCAGCATTGGCTCCTCAGGACTGCCTCACTGTCCTAGAGATAGAAGTAGTCCTTAAAGTCCTGACAGACTCTTACAACAGTGTACCACCATCCCTGATTGAGTCCAATTCAGTCAACTTTGGCCTTTATTGAAAGCTCTTCTTTCTGCACCATTGGAGGGTTTGCTTTATCCTCTTGCTCCCCCATTTGCAGCTCTGACCTGCTGCTTTAAACCCACTCTACCATTCACCTCCTACAGATCTGATATGCTGCCCTGGACCAGACCAGCTGGACTGTAACTTTCTCTTAAGTCATACAATTATTATTATGGAAGCATTTATGCAAGTGTGTCATTTATGAGGACTACATTGTGGTGAATTCTGAATAAAGCCAATCTAATTTCCTTTATTTAAATATAAATTTCTGTTAAAAAATGTCAAGTGAAACTAAAAAAATCACATTTTTTCATATGTCAGTTCATGGCCACACACAGTACAAGTCTTGCGGTACATGTCATCTTCTAAGTTTTCTTCTGGTCCATACTCATGTTGATGAGCAGTCAATTCTCTTTTCCATACACTGCTCCTTACTGCCCGGCGCAATTCTTTAAAAAAAAAACAAAACACAAAGTTTGTCAGCTGAACCCTAAAATAAATCCAATCAGACTTTCAGCCATGTCTGTGTATTTAAACCATATAGTTTAAATTTATGGCACATCAAAGTTGATTTCACAAACTTGGCAAGCTTTCTTACCTCCCTGCTTGGCTTGTGAAGTCAGTTGTTGTAGTAGTATAACATGAGAGATTGAGAAACAGAACAGGTATGTGGGACTAGGCGCAGTGGCACATATCTGTAATCCCAGTGGCTCGGAGGGCTGAGGCAGGAGGATCTCAAATTCAAAGCCAGCCTCAGCAAAAGCAAGGCACTAAGCAACTCAGTGTGTTTCTAAATAAAATATAAAATAGGGCTGGAGATGTGGCTCAGTGATCAAGTGTCCCCCGAGTTCAATCCCTGGAACACCCCCCACCATCACCCCAAAAAAGAAAAGAAACAGGTATGTGGTTAGAATTATAGCAAAAGAGAAACAGAAGTGACAGGAGATAGTGTTGACATCTGACTTTTTCCATGCCACAGCAGGAAAGGGGAATGTCTTTTAATCCAAATTTACAAGTCAGGAACACTGCCTCTAAGAGGCAAGGCAAGTTTTTGCAAGAAAACTAGAAAGCCAGGAACTACCAGTAAAATTCATGTGTTTTCATCTTAGAAAAATTGGTCATGCAATTGATGACGTTTATTAAAAGTTCTTTATTTTACAAAGTGGCAGCATTAGTTTGGGGGGAAGAGCTGCCAATAACTACCACAAAGTACAACCTAAAAATCAGAATCACAGAGTATAAATAGCAGGGGAAAAAACTTTTTTTTTTTTAACTTTGTTTTATTTTGCAGGTGGGAAAACAGAGCAAAGATATATGTGAACCCAGGTTGCCTTCCTTATTCCAGTACTGTCTTTGTGCCACATCATACATTATGTTTAAGTCATTTTACCAAATGAGTGGGGGGAGATGCTTTGAAAAGCAACTTAAGGCTATCACTTTTTTAGAAGTTCACATTGCATATTACCTGAAGAAGACATTTAGTACTCCACTTCAAATGTTTAAGTGGTAGCTTCTATTTCTAATGTAATGAATAAAAAGCAACGCTATACTTGTTTACATTTCTGTTCTCATCAGTGATCCAACCAGAGCTCATCACCGTCTTGGACGGTGGTACTACTTATCTAAGAGTATGGGAGCTGTATTTTATAATTTCAGCCATAAAAAATATCCACCAATTATTCGCCTTTTCTTTAATCCATTATAGATCTGTGGTAAGTAGTACCAAAATACTTCTTGAATCTTTGTAATATCTGCCTTAATATGTGGACTATATGCCAGGCACTGTTCTAAGTACTTTTAATGCATTTAATCCTCAAAACCTTGTATAGATGAGAAAAACAAGGCAGAGAGAAATTATAAATTGCCCAAGGCCAAACAGCCAGTTGCTGGCAAATTACGGCCTAATGTGGGGTCCACATTCTTAACCAGACACATTGTGTCTCCAGGCATGAGGCCCTGAGAAAGGCACATCACTTTCATATTATCACTCATCTAAAATGTTTACATATTTTGGGTCCATCCAACCAGCAAGAAATGACAAAATCCCAAGTGAGAAACACTAAAAAGCCATGGCAGGAGAAGGGAAGAGACTTCTGACTTAGGAAGTGTCGATAACATAAAAGACAAGGCTGTGAAAATCCAGAACAGGTTTAGAAAAGACTTGGTAGCCAAAACCAGTATCTGATCTTAGAATGGATCCTGTTCTAAAGTAGAGCCAGTGAAAAAGACTAGAATGTAGATGGCAGTTTAGATAAATACTAACTCAATGCTGAGTCTAGTCAAGTTAATGATGTTACATGGTGATGTTAAGAGAATACTTATATTAGGAAATACGAGTACTTAAGGGTCAAAAGTGGTGATGTATATAATTTATTAAATAGTTCAGAAGAATAAATATTTGTTTGCATATAGAGTGGGCATGCAAATGACGACTGAATGGCACACAGTATTAAGAGATCAGCTGGGTAAGGTGGTCTTTTGTTCTATTTCCCTAGCAACTTTCTTCGAGTTTGGAATTATTTCTAAATTAAAAGTTTAAAAAGACAGGTGCCACCTTGAAGAGGACTCCGACTGGCCAAATTTGGGACAGTTTGAGTATCAAATGAATAATGATGTGACTAAGTACAATACACTGATTTGAGAATAAGAACCCATGAGGCACTCCAACATGTTTTAAAGGGAGAGGGGAGTGTGATGGGGAGGTAGCTCAGTGGTAGAATACTTCCTAGTATCCCAAGGAAAAACATGACCTTTTTTTTTTTTTAATGTTTTTAAAACGGCCTGAGGAGCTTGGTGTGGGGTACAGGCCTGTAATCCCAGAAACCCCAGAAGCTGAGTCATTAGGACTGCAAGTTCAGGACCAACCTTAGAAATTTAGTTGAGACCTTGTCTCAAAAACAAAAGTGGCTGGGGATATCACTCAGTGATAGACTACCCCTGGGTCCAATCTAATACTGCAAAAAGAATTTTAAAAATAAAATGACCTTAGAGATATGATTTTTTTTCCCAAAAAAGAGGCCAAATAATTGTAGAGGGAATGAAAGAAACAAAATTGCCATTTATATCTACATCAGTAATAACTGCCTCAGGCAAGACTCATCCCTGTATACTAAACATTGAGTAAAGCAGGAATGAAATTCAGTGTCACATTTCTTATATTCAGTGACACAGGTCACGGGTTCCTGACAGTGGAATCTAGCAGAATGCCTTAACTGTACAGTCAAACCCCTTCAAAGAGAACTGGCAGCATGTGTACGCTGGGGTGACCAGGAGTGCTCCTGCCAGATCCACTCCACCTGAATCACATCAAGGAAATTGCAATCTAGGTGAAGGTATGTGGTGGACCAGAGCTGGCCTGACACTTTACAAGTGTCCGGGTATGAAAGATAAAAAGACTGAGGGACTACATCAAAAGAATCCATTCAAATCCAATCCTGTCCAAAGAAGGCATCATCCCTGAATGGTCCCTGGATCCAACAGCCAAAAAGTTAAATTTTGAAACAGCTCAGGATCATTGAATGAGTATTATATACTAGATACAGCCTCACATTAGCATTACACTTCTTGAGTTTGTGATTATTTTTAGTTCGGGAGAAAAAACATTATTTTTAGGAGAAACATGCTAAAGGATTTATAAGAATCACAATGTCTGCAATTAACAAACCGTTCTGCAAAATGAGTACATGTGAGAGTAAACCTGGCAAAATGTCAACACTTGGTAAATGAAAATTTTTTAGATTGTAAGTTTTCTTCAATACTTCAACTTAGAAAAACAAAACTATCCATAGCTGAGACTAGAAGAAGGTAGAAAAGTGAGAATAACAAACCTTGGGGGTGCATTGGGAACCAAGGCAGATGGACACCCTGCACAGCCTGAAAGCCAAAGTGAAGCCAGAGAACAAAACAGGCTGACACTGTGACGGCCCCTAGTACTCTCGGCCCAGAGCTTCACAACACAGAGAGCTGCTACCTCTCCTGGAAATGGGTAAAAATGTCCAAGTCAACCAGTCTTGCTACTGATACCCTGAGTAATTGCTTACATTATCTCCAAAGATTTCCCCCTAATCCTTGTTTCAATGAAAAATATAATACTACCCTAACACTTTCTAGTTTTAGATATCTTAATTTTGCAAAGAGGCCGTCTGTATACAAAGAAACCTGATACTGCTTATGAAGCAAACTAAGAATTAGTTGAGAGACACAGATACTTCTAATAGTGGATGGAGGGCAGGAAGTACTGAGTTAGGGTGCCTCTTGTTACCTGGAAGGAAGTTATCACAAGAAAAGATGACAACATGTAGCTTTGACCTTATTTTACCCTCTGTCAACTAAAATCATTGAGTATAGGGCACTGTGTCTCTCAAGCTCCTCTGAGATAAACCCCAATAGTCATATGAATATAACCATAAGCCCCACATGTACAGCATCTATAACAGGGGCCTCAAAATGGAATTTTCTCACCCACCTCTTGGGGGGAAATGCATAGTAACAATGAAGACTAGTTCATTTCCTTTCTTTTAGTGGTGAATCTCTACCAGTACTAAGAAGAGGCTGAGTATAACTTGAAAGCCTCACCTCTACCTTACTGCCAGAAAAGAGGCCTGCAGACAAAATGTTACACCAACTCCAACTTTCATCCAGTATGAAGGCCAACACATACTGCATTTTAAAAAATATTTTATTAGTTGTTGATGGATATTTATTTATTTATATGCAGTGCTGAGGATCGAACTCAGTGTCGCACACATGCCAGGCAAGTGCTCTACCACTGAGCCACAACCTTAGTCTCACATACTACATTTTTTGAAATCCAGTTAAGCTAAGCAACAATGATGCCACCATTTCCACTTCTGCCTTCTTGGATCTAAGAGTTCTGTAATAAACCTTATCTTTCTCTACACATTATATTATTTTTACTTTTTTTTCCTATAACTAACTGAATTCTCAAACTGCTAATGTCTAAGATCATACTCTAAAAGCAGATAAATATAATCTCTTATGTTCCTAAAAAGAAACTTTGTGCCAGCTGCTTTATTGATCAAAACAGAAGACCAAGAGGACTCAGGTTCTGATTTCAACTAAAGAACCTTTCTAACCTGATTTTATTTCTCTCCATTCTGCCATCCACTTTATTTTATTTTTTTAATATTTACTTTTTAGTTGTAGTTGGACACAATACCTTTATTTTATTTATTTATTTTTATGTGGTGCTGAGGATTGAACCCACAGCCTCTGCCCCAGACACACTTTAAACACCTGCATGAAGAACATTTGTGTGTGTGTGTTTATTTATGGGTATCGGGGATTGAACTCAGGGGCACTTGACCACTGAGCCTCATCCCCAGCCCTATTTTGTATTTTATTTAGAGACAGGGTCTCACTGAGTTGCTTAGCACCTCACTTTTGCTGAGGCTGGCTTTGAACTTGTTGTGATCCTCGAGCCTCATTTAACAAGCCATTTCACCTTTCTGGGTCTTTTAGTCATATAAAATAAAAATGGTTAGATTAGCTGACATCAGAAAATTCCTTTTAACTGCGATGACTAAGACTTGGGGCACAATTTTTTCACTTTAAACAATCAGAGAGGTCTGTTGGTGAGTGTTTGTTTTTTAATACTGTTGATCATATTTAAGATTTAACTGACACCAAATTCTTGACCAGGATACCATTCTCAATCCTAACACCATTCCTACATAAAATATGATTCATCTTAAAATGATGGCTTATATGCTTTTTGGAAATGCAGTTCTTTGAGGTTTAAACTGAGAACCTCAAACAACAATGTACTGAGGACAAACTTCCAAGTCATTTTTTTCAACCTCTAAAAAAACACTTTCCAATCTATTGGTGACATATCTTTAACAAGAAAGAATCCAGCTAAAGTAGTAAAACAATCCTTCATGATATAAAATGTAGCTACTTACCTTTTACTTTTTTATCAAACTTCTTTTGTTTCATTTTTTCTCTGTTTTCTTGTCTCACTTCCTTTGCTTCTTCTAGTGCTTCCTGACTACCCCAAACTTCAAGGGACCTCTTCACAATCTATAATACAGTCATCTGTAAGTTAGATGTGATTGAGAGTTGCAGGATATTATGCATTATAATTATCAAATCCATAGATACCAAAAAATGATCTAAATTAAGTACAAATGTTTTTTGAAATTTAAATGACATTAACTATTACCAATAAGAAACAACCCTAATAACATCTCTCTCTAACCCTAGAAACCCTTAACAGATGTATCATGAATTAGATTATAGAGAGCATAGCTGTCCTCAGAAGGACATGTGGTCAGTGGGTTTGATGAATCTCAGCAAGCTCACCAAAGAAGTCTGTTGACACATTAGCCATTTCAGACCTAAATCTGAGATCATCTCCAAAAATCCAACAAAAGGAAATCACCAGTTACTACTATCCATCTCCTCCTGGCTCAATACTGGTTTCCATCCACTTGACTAACTTCTCATCTGCAGAATATGAATTAAAAAAAAAAAAAAAAAAAATTTGGTACCTATTTGACCTAAAAAGTCTTCATTCTAGTTTTAAAACATGGGATTATATATTGGTACCAGGGACTGAACTCAGGGGCACTCAACCACTGGGCCACATCTCAACCCTATTTTGTATTTTATTTAGTGACAGGGTCTCACTGAGTTCCTTAGCCCCTCACTTTTGCTAAGGCTGGCTCGTGATCCTCCTGCCTCAGCCTCCCGAACAGCTGGGATTATAGGCAAGCATCACTGCACCCAGATTCTGTTACATTTTTTTGAAGAATAGTCCCACATAGTAAGAATTATGCTCAAGATACTTCTCATGATATATTATGGGTAATATCAATTAATGTAGCCAAATCCAAAATTTCTTAACCTTGTAAGTGATATATTTCTATTTCATAAATGCTAAGACATCACATTTTCCACATTTTAACATCTCTGTAAATGCTACATCACCAGTGTATGTAATGGACTTTAACAACAATGAATCAAAAAGTGGATCAGATTGGGGCTGGGGTTGTGGCTCAGTGGCAGAGCACTTGCCTAGCATGTGTGAGGCACTAGGTTCTATTCTCAACACTGCATATCAATAAATAAAAATAAAGGTCCATTGACAACTAAAAAATAAAAAGTAGATAAAGCCAGGCACAGTGGCACGTGCCTATAATCCTAGCAGTGGGAAGCTGAGGCAGGAGTTCAAGGCCAGCCTCAGCAAAAGCTAAGCAACTTGGTGAGACCCTGTCTCTAAATAAAATACATTAAAGGGCTGGGGATATGGCTCAGTGGTTGAGTGCCCTGAGTTCAATCCCCAGTATCCCCCACCAAAAAAAAAAAAAAAAAAAAAAGTGGATCAGAAGAACTGTACTCTAAATGTAAAGAAGAATATCTTTCTTTTGGTGGTGGTGGTGGGGATCAAACCCAGGGGTGCTTAACCACTGAGCCACATCCCCAGCCCTTTTTAGTTTTTATTTTGAAACAAGTTTTCACTAGGTTGCTTAGGGCCTCACTAAGTTGCTGAGACTGGCTTTGAACTTGTGATCCTCCTATCTCAGAGTGACTGGGATTGAAGGTGTACACCTTCATGCCCAACGGTTAGGAATGGCTATATAAATCGTTTGTACTTACATTTTCCTTTTTACATATACACAAACATGATATACGACAAGAAAACTGTGATAAAGTCTAATGGTACTATTTCAATAACTAAAAACTAAAAGTACCAAGTGATAAGAATACCAGACTCAGTTTAATTACCCACATTTTTTTCATTTTCAATGGTATTATTTAAAAAAATACATGGTGACTCTCCTAATTGTGTAAGTACAGTGAAATTCAGTCTGTTTTGTTTCACAATGTGGTTTTTAAATTTTATTTAAAGATAGGGGAATTTATACTTTATTCCAATTCAAACTGTGCTCTGAAGCAATGCCTCCCAGTATTTTCATATAATGGTACAAAGAGAATATTATTCAAGCATTCTGAAGCAGATACAGGAGGCTGCTGTGACTCTAGGTAACTGGCCTAAGTGCCAGCAGCTTCAGCCACGAAGTAGATAACTCCATCAGCCTGAAACCTGCCTGTGGCAGAAGAGGCAAGCCAACTTTTTTTGAGATATACTGGAGGCACATGGAAGCTTGGCAGCACTCCAGATGGTATCCCCAAGTACAAGTCAGAATTTAGGCCCAGTAGGGTGTTTCTGGGGATATGGGAATGAAGTGTGACCCCTTTTAAATTTTTTTAGTTTTAGAATCATACTCCTAACATCACCCACCAACAACGTATTTGTTCCAAAGTGCAACAGCAAAAAGCAAAGTAAGAAAACATTGTTATTAAATGTTATTACATGTTTATGACAATGTGCAAAACAAGAAATCCTTTTCACTCTCTGTAAGCAAGAATGGAATTAATTACAACTAGTTTATTGTCAAAACTTCACCTAAATCAGTATTGAAAATTCACAAATATAATTCATTAGAGACCTGTAATTTTAAGTAGAGTTTCATATCACCCCATTGTGAATGATGAGGATTCTTCTTCACAATAAATTTAAGAGCTGGTTCTCTTTTTTCTAAATCACAGTCCTTCAGGAGGTATTCTTGTTTTGCTTCTGTTTTGGTAATAAGCTTGTGTTTCTCATCAGCATCTCTGAAAACAGATTAAACTCTATTATATAAATTAGTTATTTTAAATAAATTAAGTTTTCAAATGCCCAGCAACCAAGGGGTATGCACACCAAAAAAAGTATAAAACACTTGTTCCTGCCTGAAACCCCCACGTTCAAATTAGCAGCTTAAAAATTCTATCAGAAAAGTACTTTATCTGTTACTTAGAGTTCTAAGATATTATACTAGCAGCAGATCCATGTAATTTAACAATTTAAGAATTTCTTTAAAATCCCTCTTATTCCAGATAGGCCTTGAAATGACTTGTTAGAGAAAATGTAAATGAGAACAAGACTCAATGAGAAAGAAAATCTAAACTAAAAAAGGCCAAGATGGGTAAGAAATAAGAAAATATAAGGCTGGGAGTGTAGCTCAGTAGTAGAGTGCTTGCCTAGCATGTGGGAGGCCTTGGGTTTGATCCTCAGCACCACATAAAGATAAATAAAATAAAGGTATTGTATCCATCTACAACTAAAAACATACATATATATTTAAAAAGAAAATATAAAATGCTAGGTCCATTGCCCTCAATATAGCTGAATTTCCAGCTGGCTCTGAGCATTCTCAAAAGCAAGGCAAAAATGGAGACAGAGGCAATTACACAGTTCTTCTCATTCATTTGTTCTCCATCTACATGCCTGGTACATCTACATGCCTGGTACATGTTCAAATAATACAGCCATGTTTTAATGAGAAATAAAGACTTGTTTTAATGAGGCTTCCATTCTAGTTAGAAGACAATCGACAAATATAATGATAGGTGAAAGTGCTGTATGAATACAGATCACAGTGAAGGAACAGCAATGTTCAGGTAGGAGAGTAATCAGAGGCACTGATGATGGGATACCAGCAGAGCCCTGATGAATTCAACAACCAGAGAAAACCTTTCTAGCAGACAGTAGCATGAGAGCAGAGTCTCAGGCAGGAGGGTACTCTGCACCAGGAGCTCACAGGAACAGACGCCTGTAACCACACGCTGAAAGTGATTGACTGTGAGGAGTGGTAAGAGGTAAAGCCAGACACACAGGGGCCTTGCAAGCAGTACCAAAGACAACGCTATTTTCTAAGGGTGCAAAAGTTGGGAGGCTGGGAAGAGACCAATCAAAAGACCACTGCAGAGTCCACGCAAGCACTGACAGTGGCCTAGACGAAGGCAGCAGTGTCAGAGGTGAGAAGTGATGGATTCAGGATATGGTTTGAAGATACAGCCAAAAGGATTTGGAATTAAACAGGACAGTAGAGACACGCCAACGAATGAAGCTGGCCTTTACTGAAAAGAGCAGATAGAGGTCAGGGAGGAGAGAGACCTAAGGTTCTAGCAAAGGATTCTATCAGAAAACCAATGTAGAATTGGGAATAACTTTAAGAAAGCTAAATACTAGCAGAATACAACAGTCACTAATATGCCATTATGTAAAAATGTGAGTGTGTAACCGATGTGATTCTGCAATTTGTATTTGGGGTAAAAATGGGAGTTCATAACCCAATTGAGTCAAATGTATGAAAGATGATATACCATGAGCTTTGTAATGTTTTGAACAACCAATAAAAAAAAAAAAAGAAAGCTAAATACTTTATAAACAGAGGGAGAGGATACATAGACTCCTCCGTACAAAACCATAATCTTTATAGATGTTGAAAGGAAACAGAACTTTATGTTAAACAAAAGAATATTCTTTTCAGACTACTACACAGTTCTCTTTATATATATATATATATATATATACACACACACACACACATACATACACATATACACAAAGATTGCTGAATTTATTGATTTACATATATCAATACTAATATAATCATTGAAAGAGAGTTTCAAGGAAATATAATGTGCATAAAGCCATGATATTAACTCTAAAATAAATGTTGTTAATCATTCCCTATAGATAGCTACATTTTCTATTGAATAACAGAATAGAAAGCACAGTAAGACTGAAAAACTACTCAAATTGAAAATATCAAAACATTGTGACTTGAAATGTAATCAGGTATTATTTTTGTTGTTCTTTTTAGTTATATATATATATGACTGCAGAATGTATTTTGACATACATATATGGAGTACAACTTCCCATTCTTCTGGTTGTACATATTGTGGAATTACATTGGTCGTGTATTCATATATGAACATAGTATTCGTAAATGAACATGTCTGATTCATTCTACTATCTTCCTATTCCCATTCCTCCTCCCTTCTCTTCATTTCCTTTTGTCTAATCTAAAGTACTTCTATTCTTCCCTACCCCTGCTTATTTTGAATTAGCATCCAAATATCAGACACAATTCTTTAAATTGATACAACAGTTGCTTCTGTTTTCTCATGGAAACAAAATTACATGTGGTACTTCAGTTCCCCAAAGCTACAGTGGCTTTTAAGTAAAGTGATGATAATACTAGACCTTCACCACTGGGTCAGCAGGAAATGGGTTTATAATTGATGGTCCCATCTGGAATGCCAGACAGAACATGACCAGCTACATATGTACCACAAGCCAAGGCCATCATCTCCCACCCTCCATGCACTGAGGATTCCACTCAGCAACAAGTCAGCCATGGGGGCTCCAATGTCTGTAGCGGGGACCCGCCCAGGGCGGGTCCTCTAGCTGGGAGATGATCTAGGGCTATAGGTACAAAGCTGGATCAGGGAAAGGTAAGAGCCAGAGAGTCCACGACAGGACTTTCCATATGTGAGAGCCTTCAACATGGGAGCAGCTAAGTAAAGACAGGAAGAACTTGTGGCATAAGAAGCATGGGGTAGCTGGGGATATAGCTCAGTTGGTAGAGTGCTTGCCTTGCAAGCACAAGGCCCTGGGTTCAATCCCCAGCACCACCAAAAAAAAAAGAAGCATGGGGTACTGTGAAAAGAGGATGGAGGCTAGGAGAAGAAAAAGAACAACTGAGGAATGTGATTCTCCCTTGTCTGTTCTCTTCATGAGAGGAGCAAAAGATGAATAAAAAGAGGTTTTCTGAGCCACCCTCCTCTCACAGCCCTCCGACCAAGGTAACTACACACTGGGCTAAGTAAGAAATAAGTAAGAAACAAGGATGCTCGGGGCTGGGTGAAGACAAGGGTTAGGAACCCGCTAGTAAGAGATAGGGAAGCGGGGACCAGGACAACAGAAAGGAAATTTCCATGACACAACTAGGTTCACATCATAAGCTTTGATCAACACAGACTTCCTGTATTTCTTTGGCAAAATGGAAATCATAGAAATTTTAGGGCCCCCAAAATAAAAATCATAATTTCTAAGAAAAATATCAAATCCAAACATATAACCATTATTTTTCCCTAAACCTATACATAGACGTGAAATTACTTAGCAATTAAGAACATGAAAAAGTACCTGCAGTTATCACAAGTTGCCAAATCAAAGTGTTTCATAAGATAAGAATCCATAAATTCTTTCCCACATTCTTCACATATTACATAATCAAATTCCATAACAGGTCCTAAAGAAAGGAAGATGAATTCCTGTAAGTTTCCTTTCTTGTGAATTTGAACAAATAAATTTTCCTCTATTTTAATAGCTTATCATGTATTTTATGCCTGACATAAATACCTTTAAATAAAAGATGAAATAAAACTTTGATTAAATAATCTTATGTTTATTTTTTTTAAAAAAAAGAAACAAAATAATATGGTGGGGTAGTCTATCAATCCAACAGTATTTCAGTTTGGGTTTTTTTTTTTTGGTACTGGGGATTGAACTCAGGGGCACTCGACCACTGAGTTACAGTCCCAGCCCTATTTTGTATTTTATTTAGAGACAGAGTCTCACTGAGTTGCTTAGCACCTCACTTTTGCTGAGGTTGGTCCTCCTGCCTCAATCTCCCTGAGCCATTGGGATTACAAGTGTGGGCCACCGCACCCAGCTCAACAAGTATTTCTGGATCCCAACCATATGTGCAATACTTGTTTTAGTGTTAGGTTGCTGCGCTAAGAAATTATCACAAATTGAGTAGCTTAGAAGAACACAAGTCTATCATTTTACAGATCTATACTTTTACTAAAGTAAATTATGGATTCTGACAGGGCTCAGTGGGTCAAAATCAAGGGTCTATAGGGCTGAACTCCTCTCTGGAGGCTCCAGGGGAGAAACTCCCAGCTCCTAAGAGGGCAGCTGCATTCCCTGACTCAAGACCCCTTCCTCTGCCTCACACCAAGACAGAGCATCTCACATGGCATCATTTGGTCTTTCTGTGACCACATGCCCTTAGCAAGACCTGGGATTACAAAGAGCCTGCCTACTATCCAGATAATCCCCCACCTCAAGGCCTTTAACTTGAAACATTTCTGCAAAGTCCCTTTTGCTTGGTGAAGTAACATATTCACAGTCTCCAGGGCAATTGGAGCATGGACATCTTCAGGAGCCATTATTCTGTCTGTACTGTTCAAAGTACAAAGCAGATTAGTCCCAAAATAGGAGGGAGAGGAAGGTACACACAGGAGTGGCACCAACATATAACATGGTTTAGAGCAATAAAGAGCAAGGGAACAGCAGAAGACTGTCAGTACAGAATTCATTTCCAAATGGAAAAATTATTTTTCTCTCCATTTCACCCCTATCAACTGAACAAACAGCTCCCTCTTTAGCTGTCTCAACTACTAGATTATAAACTCCTTGAGGGAAGAGATCCTATTTAACCAGGCATCCTCAACACCCAGCACAGAAACTTCTCTAGGTAGAGGAAAGCTAAATTTTTTTCTTACTTTGGTGTTTACACTGTCTCAGAATTGGCCAGTACCTCCTGTGTCCCTGTAACACACCTTCATCATTTTTGAACGCTTAACATATTTTCTGGCATTACTCTTGTAATGGTCCAAACTCATCTTGTAGCCATGTGCCCAAACCCAGAATCAGCTTTTTCTCTGAAAGGTCTTGACTCTTTAATGGGAAATTAAGAAATATAATGTGCTTAAAACCATGATATTAACTCTTAGTGTCCAAGATCTGAACACCAGGTGTGTTCACTGATTCTGGGGTCTCTTTGGTCCAAGGCCCTTTGTGTGGACAGAGCTAGAAAATATACACATGTATATACACAAACATACACATATACTTACACACGCACAGACGCACACACAGACATATTCACTGGTATGACAGTCTTCATCCACCTATAGGATTCGTTCTTCCCATCTCCCATTCTATATTTGTATGATTCTTCCACAGTGAAAATTCTGACTCCCAAAAACATCAAGACATTTATTTATCTGCTTGAGCCTATCATACTTTTAAAATACTTCCCCCATGTCACTCTATAAATATGAGCTCAGAAGTTCTGTGGTTCCTCTGCTCCCATTCCACCCTCCCAAACTAAGAACATATAGTCAGATACTGTTTACAAATGACTTGGACTCGTTCTTTCTGCCTGCTCTTCCCCTGCAGCATGGTCATGTTATTCATTTGGAGAAAGAGTTAAGTAGGTCTGTTTATTTGCTTTTAGTTTTATTTTGTTGACTCTTTCTATCCTTAATAGCTTAATCTTTATTATTATTATTATTATTATTGGTACTAGGGGATTGAACCTAAGGGAACTTAACCACTGACCCACATTCCCAGCCTTTTTCAATTTTTTATTTTGAGACAGGGTCTTGCTAAGTTGCTTAGGGCCTTGCTAAGTTGCTAAGGCTAGCCTCAAACTTGTCATCCTCCTGCCTTTGCCTCCTGAGTCACCAGAATTACAGACATGTGCCACGATGCCCAGCTTAACTTTAAAAAAAAAAAGTCAAAACTTTTCAGAAATATAACTTCTTCAGTCATTCTCTTGCTATGAATCAGAGATCTGTACAAAAGTTCACCTTCAAATATATACACTATAGCAATAATTATTAGAATAGAGAAAACAATAAACAAAATGGGCTGAATTTAAATGAATCATCATACCGCCATAAAATGGAATATTATTTAGCCACTGAAAAGCAAGCTCTTTAAAAACATTTTAAAATGAGAAAATACTCTCAACATTTTTATAAAAGACAAATACTGGACTGGGGATGCAGCTCAGTGGTAGAGCACTTTCCCTAGCATGCATGATGACCTGGGTTCAATGCCAAGCACCCCCCCCCCAAAAAGAAAAATATTACATTCTCATTCACATATCAAAAACAGTCTCAAAGAAAATATATCAAAATGACTGCATAGGGAGTTAGTGTTTAATGGGTACAGAATTACATTTGGGGATGATAAAAAAATTCTGGAGATGGATGGTAACAATGGCCATACAACATCATGAATGGAGTTAATGCCACTGAAGGTATAGACTTTTAAAATGGTTAAAATGGTATAATTTTATCTTACATATATATATTTTATCACAAAGTTTAAAAATAAATACTTTTTAAAAAAGATAACATGAACAGTGAATGACCTATACACTGTTCTCCCCATAGTGGTGGGGTGCATTCCCCGACGGGGATTTCATCTTCTAGACTGAGGTTGTGGCCCCTGGGTCAGCAGCAGCATCTCCTCAGAACTGGATAGAAACTGATTCTCAGGCCCAACCTCAGACCTACTAACTCAAAAGAAATTCTAGGGATGGCCCAACAATCATTTTAACAAACCCTTTCTGAGGATTCTGAGGATCCACTCTTCTAGATCCTAAAAGTATCAAACTTTGCTTTATAGGCAGCAAGACTTCATGACCGAAATAAGCTGACTTTTCTCTATGCTAAAGAAACAGACTATCTTTCAAAATTAACAACAATAAAAATGGTAGAACATTAACTGCTCATCTCCCTCTACCCATGTTGGTCAGTCCCTGTCCATGAGCATCTGGCCACAGGGGCAAATGGGGCCAAAATGCCACTCATGACCACTTGTTAAGCCATGAGCCCAGCACCAGGCTATGGTGGTCCATGGAAAGGGGAGCTTTTTCTAATTTCTCACTCAAAAGGGACACCATTCTAACTGGCACTAATTCACTACCAGAGTCCTTTGTGCCAGCAGCATGATATCGGTGCATGAATAACAGCAATGCTTAATGCCACATGAATATCCTAGTCAAGCAACAAGACGCTGTAGTAGGTTCTCAGTAAATATTCACAGCCTGTTAAAAGAAAGCATAGGCTTTATAACCCACGGTGGACTCAGGAATCTATAAAAGCAGTTAAAATGAGTTCATATCCACAAAATCATGAAGTCCCTGAATTTAATGTGTTCCCTCCTAAGGCAGGACTGCTTCTCTACAATATTGTGGTCTTGGTCAAATTTTTCAATCTCTGAATCCCTCTAAAGCTTCACTATTAGGAGGCAGCAATCCACATGGCTAGGATGTTTCTCCATTTCAGGTCACTGTGAAACCCACACAATACATATACCAACACCCTGTAAGCACCAACTGCTAACTACACCTAAGCTGCACCTTTAATTTACTGAACTGAAGTCTCCTTCTCCATAATTGTCCAGCCACTGTTTAAAGTTCTGTCTTCCAAAAACAAACCCCACAGTAAGTGTAACCTCTGTGTCCCCAGAGTATTGCAAAAGAACGAAGTATTCTCCAAGTTAAACCTAACCAGTTTTGACAAATGTTCCTCATATGTCCATTTCAAGATTTCCATTCCAGTCACCTTACTTCAGACACTATGCACTTGCCTATATCCTGCTTAAAATAACAGACCCAAAATAAACATAAACATTTTAACCCTTTAAGCCTCAGCTCCTGAAAATAACAATTTAGACACACATGGAATAGGACAGGGTTACTACCGTCTATCTTTGTGAATAAACATTTCTGTTGCTTTAGCTGAAGATGGACTAGTTCTCTCAAGCCTCTATATTACACTATTAGCTATCAAATTGGGATCAATAAAATTTCTTATCTGTTTCAGAGTTTGAAAGTATTTCTCACCCTAAGAATATGTGTGTATATAACTGATATATCAAAGCACTGACTTCAGGAGTAGATTTATATCTTTCTATCGGAGATCTTCCTCTACTTTGTAAATTGTTTTTTCTCTCCAAATATACATAAAAGAATATCCTAAAATTTATCTCTGTGTTCTGGATCCACATTTCAACCTATCAAGACTTTTTATTGAGATGGGTCTCACTGTATTTATTGTCCAGGCTGGTTTTTGAACTGGTCTTGTGCTCAAGTAATCCTTCTGCCTCGGCCTCCTGAGTAGCTGGGATTATAGGCACTTCACTGTGTCCAGCTTATCAAGATAATTTTGAGTATTTATTTTATCTGTCAACATATTGCCTGTAGCTGCCTATTATATAACAATAAAGAATATCAACCCCTATGTACTCAAACCACAAGTTAAAGAATAATTTCCAACATATAAATGTTTCTTTGATTTTTAAAACTGCCAAACATTATCACTCTTATAAACTGCTCACTGATCAAAACAAATGTGGTGTTATTTGATATCAATATGCAAAGAATTATGCACGTTACTCAAAATAACTAATCTAGATTTTTTTTCTACAAAACTCATACTTTACCTGGTTGATGAACAATGTTTCCAATTTTATGTTCTTCTTCTTCCTCTTCTAAAATAAAGCCTCCTTTTGTGTCAATTATTTTGGGGGCTGCTTTTACATTAGCCACACCTACAAAAAGGAAATAAAAGTGGTTATCAATTGAATTAGGTAAACCATATGTTCCTTGTACATAAACAGAAATTTTCTTTAAATTTAATATACTCAAACAATACATAAATGTTCATATCACCACTTCTATTCAAATCTGTACTGAAGGTCCCAGCTAGTGTACTACGGTAAGAAAACCAAAAAGGCATAAAGGTTGAAAAGAATGACGTACAACTGTACTTATTTGCAGATGATGTGATTATACATATAAAAAATCCACAAGAATATCAATTAGAATTAAGAAATAACAATAATCTAAGAAGAAATGTATAAAACCTCTAAACTGAAAACTACAAAACACTAAGAGAAATCAAAGACAACCTAAATAAATAGAGAAATAGACCACATATGGATCGTGGTATATTGTAAAAATGTCAATTCTCCCATTAATCTACAGGGCCACAGTGCTCAGGTCACTGTGGGATATGTACATCAGTGGGATATGTACAAGGGTGCTGATAATCTGACTCTAACAGTTATATGTGAATAGAAAAAACCTAAAGTAGATAAGAGAACCTTGAGAAACAAAATTGGAGGATTTTTACACCTTCATTAATTAAGACGCTAAGGTAATGCCACAAAGATAAATAGGTCAATGGAACAGAAGAGAGAGACCTGAAATAGACCTATACAAACTTGGTTATTTAATTTATGACGAAGGTTCTTAGTGGGAAGAGGATAATCTTTTCAATAAATGGTGCTGGGGTTTACGACAAAGGTGCCACTGCAGTACAGTCATGAAAAGATGCTCTTTCAAAGAATGACCTTTGACCCTATTTCAAACAATACACATTTTAAGAACTTTAAAATTAATTGTAGTAATAAATACGAAAGGTAAAACAATAAAACCCCTATAAGAACAACTTCATGAACTCAAGGTAGCTAAAAGCTTCTTAAACAGAACACAAAAGGACTAATCATAAGAGAAAAACTGTTAAACTGGACTCAATTAATTAAGAACTTCCATTTATTATGACACCATTATGAGCGTGACAGAAAGCAAAATGAAAAATATGATATGCAGTATGTCTAACTGACAAAGGCTGCACATCCAGAATACATAATGAAATCCTAGAAATCAGCAGAAGACAAATACCACAACTTAAAAAAAAAAGCAAAAGACCTAAATAAACACATCACAAACAAGGAACGGCCACTAATGGAAAGGTCTTCATCATCATTATCCACCAGGAAAATGTAAATTAAAATCATAATTAGGGGCTGGGATTGTGGCTCAGCGGTAGAGTACGTGCCTAGCAAGGACGGGACCCGGGTTCGATCCTCAGCACCACATAAAAATAAAGGCATTGTGTTGTGTCCATCTACACCTAAAAAAATAAATATTTTAAAAAACATAATGAAATATCACTACACTCTCTCTAGATCTCTAGAATGTCTAAAATGATCAGTTTCTTTCTTTCTTTTTTTTTTTTTTTTGGTACCAGAGATTGAACCCAGGGGTGCTTAACAACTGAGCCATATCCCCAGAACTTTTTATTTTTTATTTTGAGACGGAGTCTCTCTAAGTTGCTTAGGGCATCACTAAATTGCTGAGGCTGGCTTTGAACTTGCGATCCTCCTGACTCAGTCTCCCAAGCCACTGGGATTACAGGTGTGTGCCAACATACCCAGCAGAATGTCTAAAATGAAGACTGACAATACCAAATAGTGAGGATGTGGAAGTGCTAGACTGTCATACTCATATCACTGCTGGTGAGATTATAAACTGATAAAAAACACTATTTGGCAATATCTGCTAAAGCTGAATATATATCTTCCTTTAACCCAGCAATTACATCTCTAGGCATATGTATAATAGAAATTAGTTCATAGGTCCACTAAAAGACAAATACAAGAAGGTTCTCAAGAGGATTTATTCCTTATAGCCCCAAAATGGGGGAAAAAATCCATTAAAAGGAAAAATGGAAAAACTGTAGCATAATACAAAAGAATGTCATACAACATATAAATGAACAAACTACTAACAATGCAACAAAATGAATGACTCTCTCAGATGTTATGTTGAGCAAATGAAGCCACTGTATGATTCCACTTAAATTAAGTTCAAAAATAGAAAATGCCAACCAAATCATCAAAACAATAGTTACTTCAGAGGGAGGGGTCTGACACTGACTAGGAATGAACAACAGGGAAAATTCTAAGGTTCTGGAAGCATCTTGAACTTTATCATTATGGGGTTTACATGAGCACACATCCAGGTAAAATTCGGAGGACAGCATTTTACATATTAATGCACTACACCTCAATTTTTTTAAAAAGTCAAATTTAACATGTATGCTTAAGTCACTTGCCTTGTCTGGCCTCAAATTCTCCTTCTATTAAATGAAAAGTTTAGATTATAATAAGCCTGTTGCCACTGTTAATAGCAATTCTCACTATACAACATATTAGACTGAGTGCCTTTATATCTGTCATTCTGACAAACAGTAAACATATGAGTATCCACTGGATGAACACACAAGGAATAAATGTTCCTAAGTGTATTATTTTTATTTCATGAATACTGTAGCAAGTGAATTGAATGACCACAAGGGCAATGTGAATCAAGAGAGGAAACTGGAGCTGAGCATGGTGGCACATGCCTATAATTCCAGTAACTCAGGAGCCTAAGGCAGGAGGATCACAAGTTCAAAGCCAGCCTCAGCAACTTAGTGAGACCCTAAGCAACATACAGAGACCCTGTCTCAAAATAAAACATAAAAAGGACAAAGCAGACTGGGGATGTGACTCAGTGGTTAAGTACCCCAGCTTCAATACCCAGTACTAAAAAAAATTTAAAAATAAGGGGAGTTGGAGTAGTTGATGTCCTGACTTCAGCAGGATTCTACACAAGGCTGAATTCATGCCCCAAATGAAGACCAGTCTCCCTCTGCTGCTACCCTTGCACCTTCCCAAGACTCCGAGCACCACTTTAGCACCACAGTCTAAGCACGCGCTCCTCAATCTTTTTCAGAGCATGTCACAGAAAATAAAAATTGTTTTATACATTGAAATAAAATTACAGCAAAGATAAAAGTCTCAGCACCTGCATACTCTGGAGGCACGATGGGTTGCATCCGCTGCTATGACACAAGTCAGCTCTGGGGTAACTGCCTGAGAAATCTTCATATGATTTCATTCTACCTTGCTTTCCATGATCAGAAATTTAATATCAGTTTTTGCTCTCTACTTATACCTGGTTTCACAGCCATGTAGAAACCTTTAGAAATCATGGATATGAATTAACCAGTGCAAATGAACTTTTATCAGTGATGTAAAACTGACTCTTAGAGACTTAAATGGGACTTTGGAAAGCATCTAACATAACTCAATTGCTTTTTAGAGAAGGAAAGCCCAGGATCACTCATTGCCTACAACAAATCCACCAGAGCTCAGAGAGATGTGAGGCGCATCTGAGGTTTAGTTTCTACTAGAAGTGGGATAAACACCACAACACAACACTTCTGATATAAGATGGGTGGTTTCCACATCCACCCAGGAATTCTCTGTTGAAAACCAACTGGGAATCCTAGAACTCAACTCAATTCTGACACTATCTATCTGGAGTCAAATCCCACAAGATGAGGGCTCAGTCTCCAAGATTTTCTCTCTTCAGATACCAAATGCAAGCTCCAAGTGCTTCTGACCAACTGGTTATATATCAGGATTTCTACAACCCTTTCCTTGGATTAAAATTAATTTGCTACAGCAACTCACAGAGGAAAAAAAAAATCACTCTGATTATGTTTACCTATGTGTGTATGTATTTAGAGACAGGATTTGGCTAGGTCACCCAGCTGACCCTGAGCTTGGGAACCTCTTGCATCAGCCTTCATGGATTAAAGGCATGAACCACCACGCTCAGATTTACCCATTTATAACAAAACATATTTTAAAGAATACAAACAAACAACCAGATAAAAAGTTACACTAGGCCAAGGGTGAGGTGTGAAGAGTCCTGAGTGAGCACAGGAGCTTCCTTCCTTGTGAAGCTGCACTCCCAGTACCCCAAATCCTAGACTCTAAGAGGTTGAGGCAAATATTTGGGAAAAAATTATTCTGCAAATAATTTGTCACACTAAGCCACCAGTTAAAGAACAGTGGGAATACACCATAATCTAACCTTCACAAGGTCTTTCTAAGGACAGATGTATATCTCGGGCCTGCTCTGTTAACCTGTTTCTGCACAAGAGACTCACAAAGACAGACGGGCAGCATCTTTGACAGCATATAAAAAAAGTGACAGTAATAATAATACCATATTTACTAAAAGTCTTCTAACTTTACTAGACACTGTCAAAATGACTTTAAGAGGATTATTTTAACCAAAACTAACAGTGAGCAAACAGGATAAACCTAATTGGGGAAATGTCTATTTAAGAACCACCTTTAGGTTTTCAAGAGGTAGGAGAAGCTTGAAAAGAAGTGATTCACTGTAACAGCAAGCAAACTGATGTGGAAAATTGCAAAACACATAATAATGAAGAGTTAAAATTCTCAAGTACAATTTCTCTCAAGTGCAGAAACCTTTCTAGAACTGAGGGTTTGTCGTGGGGCAACAGAAAACTGAGCAAAATGAGGGTGGGGTATTCAAACAGGATATACAGACTCATTTGCTTCCAAGAGTGCCAAGGCCTTACCAGTTGGACCTACCCAACACTGCGATAGCCAACCTTGCCTTCTTTATATTATTTTCTAGTTTCTTTTATGATCTGGACCTACTTAGAATTGGAATTCCTTACTTTCTTTACACACTCTGTCAGGCTGTTGAAAGTTGGAGAGAACCTGTACAAGTTCAGAAATTACCAGGAATTGGAAGGGATATACGTTCAAGGTACTTATCTGCCAATGTCTATGTGCCCATCTGGAAAATGCGAGAACAACTGTGGGTATACATAACTCTCAAGGTCTGCAATTATGAAAAGCCCTTTACACATTACAAAGTGTTACACAAATATAGGGATTTTTCAAATGGCTTGGAAAACTTCTCTAACCTGCTTTAGTTACAAGCAGATTCTCCATCTGCACACAGTCAAGGAGGAGAGTTTCTGGTCAGTAACAACAGCTAATTCAACAGTAACTCTAAAAACATTTTTAAATTATACACTCCTGTAAAACATAAGGGTTATTATTTAATAGGCGTCATTGCAAGGACCACTTTGTTGTGGAAGGAGGAAATGTAACAGACACAAGGCATTCCCACATTTCACCTAGTCAAGAAAGACCTAAGCTCAATTAGTATCATGCTTGTGTTAGGGGATTGGGACAGAAAGTACCAAACCCAAGACCAAGTATCTGCTTTCAAGAGGCTTCAACTACAGTGATGAAGAAATCATATGAGGACTCGGGAGGTAGCTCAAATGGCAGCGCGCTTGCCTGGCATGCGTGAGGCACTGGGTTCGATCCTCAGCACCACATAAAAATAAAATGAAGATACTGTGTCCATCTAAAACTAAAAAATAAATATATTAAAAAAAAAAAAAGAAGAAGAAATCACATGAGCCGAGGGTTCCAGGCACAAGCAACAGGAGACAAAACATGTGTGCTGGAAAGGTAAGGAGCTACACTACTGACAGGGTGAAAAAAAGAAGACTGGGGAAATACACAGGAGTCAGGTGATGATAAAGAACTTAGGGTTTGTCGTGGGGCAACAGAAAACTTTGGCAAGGCTTTAAATATGAAAGAAAAAGATTTATAGATTAGATAGATGACATTCAAAGATGGGGGGAACTAGGAGATTACTGCAGTAATCAAATAAAATATGGTATAAAACATGGTATAAAACATGGACGGAAAAGATTTGAGGGATTTTGTAGAAATAATTTGATTTAATTACTTCCAAGAGCAACATCAGCACCTAGAAATATGACTGATAGATAAAAAGCATGAAGGGCGGCCAGGGGCTGCTGTAAGAAAGGGGACAGATGAAACCCAGCTCCCACAAAAGTAACAATCTTTCTTCCTAGAGATAAGAAAGATGACTAATAGAGTAGAGGTAACTGGTGGGCAAAGAAAAGCCCTAAATTCAGTGTCACAAGACCTAAGTTAGAACTCTGATAAGCCTGTGCACTTGAATCTGAGTAAATCCCTTTCCTTTCCTGATCTCAATCATCGCTTCAGTAAAATACGCATACCAAACCCTGCCATTTTTCTTTTCCAGGACGGCTGTGAGGCTCCAACTAGGCAATCTGACAAGTGTGCAGCACGGCAGGTGTTACTCTGTTAGCCCCATGAAGGCAGTGGCTCAGCTGTTTGCTGTCTTGGAACTCCATGAAAATGAGGGTCACTCAGTCGCTTTTGGTTGGATGCATGAACAAGGTACAGGTGCAGGCTTATTATTAAAAAGGGTTACAGCTCTAAAAACTTTATGCCAGGGCCACCCTGTGGCTGGTGAAAGCGCAGCAGGCAGAGGATAACTGAGGCATAGACAGGTACTGGATGGCACCTCCCAGCGGGAGTGGCATCCGCGAAGGAAAGATGGAAGCTGGGCAGCCAAGGCGCAGGGAGAAAGCCCAGGACCGCGGAATCGCTCTGTGGAAGGGCAGGCGATTCCACAGGGCGGATTCCTGCCGGGACTGCAGGAGGATCTGCGCGCAGGCGTGAGCGGAGTGGACACGCACCCGCGACCCGGCCGCGCGAGCCCGTCTGGGGACCAGGGAGACCGAGAAAGGTAAGCGGAGAGGAGCAGGAGGAAGGGGAAGGCGCCGCCAGGGCCCGAACCTCCAGTGGCCGCAGCCGCCGTCGCCGGGTAGGGCCGGGCTGCCAGCCGGGCCTGACGCAGCATCAGCGCCCGCTGCCGCTTCCGCTCGATGCTCGCCCGCACCGAGGCAGGCAGCTCCCCCGGCTGCTCCGAAGCCGCCAGCTCCAGCGAAACACTCTCCGCTGCCGCCATCTTGGTCCAGCTCGGAAGAAAGCGGCCCGGCCCCGCGCTTGCGCATTGCGTACGGAGGAGTGCCCACGGTCGGCAGCGACGCCAGCACCGCCAGCACCGCTTCCATGTCCCTTGACTGAGGGTGCCCCAGGAAGGAGTGCGCCTGCGCAGCTGAGGGGGCGGGGCTGAAGGGCGGGGCAGTGGCTGGGGTCTGAGCGTGCGCGGAAGTCGGGACTACGTACCTGCCCACCGGTACCTGCTAGGCAGGAAGTGGGCGTCCTTAAAGTCGGAGTTTCGCCTGGAGATTCGGAATGTGGGCTTTGCACGCACACCCAAAAGGTTAAGTCCCAGCACTGACACAACCTGTGGTTAATGATTATGGAACCATTTCCAGGGTCGTGGGGAAAATTAGATGGCAGCACAATGGCTGAGACAAGGAAAGCTTCAAACAGTGATAGCGGTTGATAGTAATGGAACCACTCACAGAGACCGGTGGGTGAATGATCGAACTGTATGTTGGACCCATGGCCTTATGTCTGAAATGAGAAGACATGATTCAGGTTTTCACTTGTTATGTGACGTCAGCAAATGCAGTACCTGGTACCAAGGCTGGTACGCAGGAGGTAGGCTATTTTTTCTATGATTTTTTTCCTCTGTGTGGATGAGCTGGATGACCAGATAGACAGTAGGTTTGGACTGGGGCCAAATATACTGACTTTCCCAAAGTGTGGTAAGTGGAACAAAAAAAAACACAGCATGCTTTTTCAAGAATTTTGCTTTTTTTCTTTTGACATAAAATTTAGTTAAAACCAGAAAAGATTATGTTCTAATCACTGCATACATCATTTAAGACTAGTTTTTAGAGAGACCAATCTGACACACTAAGATTTTTCAACTGACACCCAAGGGTTAGAGTTTGAGAAGTCCAGCTGTTGTGATCAACTGCCATGTATATTATTACATACAGATGTATATGTATATAGCTGAAGAACCTTGTAAAAATACATGTAGATATGTAGATCTTCTGATTGAACTGGAGATAAAAATCTCAAGTCATCCTCATTCCCTTTCCCCTCAGATCCCTTTTAATTCCCATCTACTGACCTTGTCCAGGTTAAAAAAAAAAAAATCTAAAATTCTGTGACAACAAAAACACAAACAACAAAGAAAAAAATTGAACTTCATCAAAATTAAAAACTTTTTTACATCAAAGAACGCTATCAATGTTAACCCACAGAATTGGGGGAAATATTTACAAATTAGATACCTGATAAGGGTCTGGTAATCCAGAATATATAAGAGCTATTTCAACTCAACAATAAAAAGACAATTAACTCAATTCAAAACAAAAAAGTAGATATTCTTCCAAAATGGATATACAGATGGCCAAGAAACACATGAAAAGATATTCATCATTATCCATTAGGGAAATTCAAATCAATTGCACAGGAGATACTACTTTTAGTGTGACTAGAAATTAAAAAGGAAAAAATGGAAAATAATAAGTGTTGAGGATTTAGAGAAATTACAACCTTCCTACATTGTTCATGGGAATGTAAAATGATGGAGTCATTGTGGGAAACTCTTTGTTCCTCAAAATTTTTAAATCTAGGATTACCTTATGAGTCAGCAATTCCACTCTTGGATATATACCCAAAAGAATTAGAAACAGGTGTTGAAACAAAACTTCCATGCAAATGTTCGAAACAGCACCATTTACAATAACTCCAAAGTGGAAACTACCTAAATGCCCATCAACTGATGGATGGTTAAACAAAATGTAGTATATCCATACAATGGAATATTATTCAGCCATGAAAAGGAATGAAGTGCTGATGCTTGCTACAACATGATGAACCATTGAAAACATTATGCTAAGTGAAAGAAGCCATTCACCAAAGGCCACATATTGTATAATTTCATTTATATGAAACATTCAGACTAAGCAAACCCATTATGACAGAAAGTAGATTAGTGGTTGCCAGGGCTTTGTGGGAGGGAGAAATGGAAGTCACCGCATAAAAAGTATGGTGTTTCCTTTTGAGATTATGAACGTGTTTTAAAAGTAGATCATGGTGACAGTTGCACAAATTATGAATGTATTACATGTCACTAACAGTAAGTTTTATTTTCTGTACATTTTACCACAACAATAACAAAAATCCAAATTCTAAGTGGAGCAAGGTAGATAACAGAAGTTAATGAATCTGCCAGGTCAGAAATTTGGGCAAACTGGAGTGTGAAGTTCCCTCTCAAAGCAGGTTGCTATTATACAGCTCCACCTGGTAGTTGCAGAGAGAGAATCTGGGCCCATTGTTGCCAGGTTGTTGTTTTCTTAAGCTGCTTCTCAAAGTTTAATGCATATACTTGTTACCTGTGATCTTGTTAAAATAGATTCTGGTTCAGTAGGTCTATGGTGAGACCTGAGGATGTGTCTTTCTAGAAAGTTCTACAGAAGACACTTTGAAGACTAAGAGTCCAAATCAGAAGTTCTCCAACTTGGCTGAACATTGATAGTACCTGGGGAGTTTTAAAAACACTGATGTTCAGGCCCCATGCCCAGAGGCGCTAATGTCACAGGTCAGAGTGGGGATCTGGGCAGAAGGATTTTGCAAAGCCCCACTCCCCTGAACCTAGGTAATTCTGATGGGCAGCAAACCTTGAGTGCAGGCACCTGAGGTGACCTGTAGAGACAGTACACAGCTCTCAGTCTCTGAGGCTGGGGAATATTTCTGGAGGCCAAGGTAACAGCTTCCCTCCAAGGTGACCTTTTAAGAATAGTCAGTCCTCTGAGCTTTCTCCCTAGCAAAGCCTTCCATCTTGAATATGGGAGGACTCCTGAGCGCAACTCGGACCCTGCCCAGTCCCAGGCATGTTGTAATTCTTGGCAACCTGCTGATCTTCTTTGGTTGGTAACTCCCTCTTCTTTGGTGCGGGGACCTTTGTTAGACAGTTTCGTGTAACTGGGTCCAAATTGTTAGCACAACCAAGCGAAAATGAGACTCCTTCTTTAAAGAAAGGAAGAGTGCGTGCCCCGATCTGTACATCTCACAGGGTGACAGAGGCTGGAAGGCTTGCCCAAAGCAAAGCAGCATGAGTCATTTTGGTGGGGGCACACAAGGAAAATAAACCAGTGGATGTGTTCATGCCTCTCCCCAGTCACAGTCTGGGGGGAAACCTGTGACTGCAGCTATCTTCCTGCTCTGTACCTCTTTAGTCTCCCAGATCTGGGCTCCTGGCAAAAAGAAGTTTCTTAACAAAGAACAGGAAGAATGGAAAAGCCCTAACTCAAGCCTAAAAGAGAGCAGGCAGGCGAGAATGGGATCCAGGAAGGGGAACGAGAAACTTGGCAGGGTTTCCTGACAGGGCCTTCTAAGTGCATGACGGGCTATTCATGCCTGAGATGACAGGGTGTGTGCACGCTTGTCTTTGTTATCTAGAAAATAGTACGTGTGTGGCTTTCTGTTTTATTATTATCCACCCCCCTCCCAATTCCCTGGGCCTTTACTCCTTAATGTGGTCACTTTGAACATCACTGGCATCCATTCACAATAGAGGAACATGTTTAGGGAGGAACACACCAAGTTTTGTGGGGGGGTTCTTCTTGTTCAAGGACACAGCAACAGAAATTAGTTTGATGATTTAGGCCATCAAACTTGTAATGCAGGAAACGTGGTTGCTTTTTGCTGTGGTCAACCAACAAACTTAATCCCCAACATCCTACACCCAAAAAATAAAAAGATCAAGGCAAAAATATCATAATGTACAGAGAGACGGAGAAACCTCAAAGACTGACAAGGCTCATCTTTTCAAAACCAGTAAGGACAGGAATGGTCCAAATGATCCAACTAAGGACAGGGCCAAGGAAAACTGATTCTCCATTCTGGAACCCAGAATCCTTCCTCACTCATAGACCAACAAGGCAGATCCTCCCCACTCTGCACACCCTTATCCTGTAGAGGGCCCCGAGGACCTTACTTCACACTGCCTTTCCCAGGAAGCCTGCCCTGTCCCTCCTCTGGCTGTCTCTGCACCTCCTATATGCTGAAGTTATGGCACTTAGCTCACCAGAGGTGATTCCTGCCTGCTGTCCTTGCTTGATTATCATGTCCTGAAAGCTGGGACAACCTGATTCATCCCACTGTCTCCAAGGTCTAGCATAGAATCTGGCACACACTAGCTGCTCAGTAAATGTTTGTGGCATTAAATAAATGCACAGAGTAATGTTGAATAAGCCTAGTTGTATATCTCTCTAACACTGAAAACTCAAGGTTCAAAGCTGAATCTTGCAACCACCTTGTCCCTGCAGTGACAGGAAATACTCCACTTTAAACAGGGCATGGTGGTGTACAACTGTAATCCCAGAGACTCAAGAGGCTGCAAAGGAGAATCACAAGTTCAAAGCCAGCCCCAGAAACTTAGCGAGGCCCTCAGCAATTTAGGGAGACCCTGTCTCAAAATAAAAACTAAAAAAGAACTTGGGTTGTAGCTCAGTGGTTAAGTGCCCCTGGGTTCAACCTCTAGTACCAAAAATAGCAACAACAACAGCAAAAAAGAAACACTCTACTTTAGAGCTGTCTGTCCCATTGACCATTATGGTAATAATAACAATAATAATAGCAAACAGTTCATAGGATGCTTACTAAATACAATATGGTTTTTAAGCATTTTATCTCAATTAGTGTAATCCTTCTAATACTCAATAAGTGTATTCACTTATCCCAGTTTATAGATGAGACAACTAAAGCACAGAGAAGTTAAAGAACCTATTCAAGATCATAATGAGTTCAGAATTGGTTGAGTAGGTGTGGCCCAGCTCCAGAATCAATATTCTCACCCCCTAAATTAAAAGTCTCTAAATTAGAATAAGTCTTCCTCCTACTTCTTTCACTAGGCTTGTCCTGCCTGGGCTGGTGCAGAGCAGGGGTCAGAACCAGGGCCTCGCCAATATCACACGTGGCTGACCAAGTGGCTCAGGAGAAGACTGTGAGGCCTGTTTCTACCTGAAGCCTGGTCCTGGAGTGATCATTGCCGGTCCTGAGCTCGGCCAAGGGAGCATGAACACGGTCCAGGGTTCACCTATTGTGGGATGAACTCCAATACACATAATGGGGTTATAGGCTTGTGGCTTCCTGTTTCTTATTACCCCCGATTGGGACTTTCAATTACCTTTATAACACGTGTGGTTGCAATTTCAAACCACAAACCACTTTTATTGCCAAGTGCTTCCTCTGCTAGTTACAGTTCTGTTGGGTAGGTGAAATATTTCCCACCAGATGCACTTGTTTTTGAAGTTTTCATAATGCCTGGAAAGAGGCTGAGGGTCTCTGCCTTGATTCCTTCTCCAGCCCACTGGTACTGGCCCAGTGGAGTCCCCACCAGCTCTTCCCTGAATGGCTCTAACCTGGTCCCCCAGCTCCAGGTTGACCCCTCAAATCCAGCTTCCAAGTGGCCTGGCAGCACCACCTTTCTAAAGTACAGCTGTGACCAGGCGTCTGCTCTGCTGAAACAGCACTTACGGACCCCCCCCAACTATGGACGATTCTACCTTATCATCTAGTTCTGGCAGCCCTCTGGGGAGCTTACCATCCAGAGGGCCTCATCATGAACTTAATGCTTTTACCAAACTGGATGAGATCACATTTTCTGGACCTGCCCCGCACCCCTCTGCACACTTGGTGCCTTACTCCCACTCTTCTCTCTCCACTGTTCTTTCCTTCAGGCCTTCACTCACGCATTGCTGAGTCTCCAAGCCAGGTCCTGAGCGAGGACCAGGAATACAGCAGCGAATCGGCCAACAGAGACTAACCTGAACTCCTTCTGCTCATATCCATTACCTCCTCCTGTCCCAGTCTTATCTGAAAGGATACTTATTCCCTGCTCCTGGAAGACTTCCCCTGATGTTTCGGCTGGAAATAACTTCTTACTTCCTCTGAGGCCTACCCCTTACTGTCATGCCCATCTTCCATCCACCCCCATTTTCCATTATAATTATGCATATCCCTTATTTCCCCCCCCCCCCCGGATGATACAAGATAACAATCTGTCTTCTTATGGCAGAATCCTTTTGCACCACGGACCAGAGTGACTGCTGATTACTCTGGGGAGCCCACCACTCTGGGGGAGTGACTGCTAACCTCCTATGCATTAGCAGTCCCTCCCCTGCTTCCGCTCAAACCTTCTCAGCTCTGCACAGCCACTAATTTGCTTTCTGTCTCAATAGATTGACTGTCCTGGACACTTCATATAAATCAAATCATCTAATACATGGCCTTTTGTCTCTGGCATCTTGGACCTAGCGTAATGTTTACAAGGCTCATCCGTGCTGTGGTGTCTATTAATAAATCATTTGTTTTTAACAGATAACATTCCTGTGTGTGTGTGTGTGTGTGACTTTTTTCCCATTCATCCATTGATAGGCATTGGGATGTTTTTACTTTGGGGCTCTTATGAATAACGCTGCTATGAACATCCATGTACATGTTTTTGTGTAGATATATGTCATTATTTCTGTTCATAGGTCCAGGAGTGGAATTTCTGAGGCAAATGGCAACCTGAAGAAATGCCACACTGTCTTCCAAAGTGAGTGCACTATTTCCCATCAGTTGTGTTTGAGGGTTCCAATTTACCCACATCTTTGCTAATATTAATTATCTTCTTTTTGGTTATAGCCATCCCAGTGGATGTGAAAGAGGATTTGGGGTATTGTGGTTTTGATTTGCATTTCCCTAACAATTAATGCTGTTGGCATCTTTTCAGGTACATAGTGACTATTGGTATACCTTCTTTGGAGGAACATCTATCAAGTCCTTTGACTATTTTTGAATTAGGTTTTTTGCCCTTTTAGGGTAACCAGGGTATTTAATTATCTTCTTTATGCTTTCTATAGTTCCTGAATTTGGTACAATGAATTCTCTTCAATGATTATTAATTACTTTGGTAAGCAGAATGCATAACCAATATGTAATATCAATACATATGAAAATATAGCAATTTCTGAATGACATAAAACTGGAAAGGTGATTGATGTTTCTTTTGACAAAATCATAGCCTGTTTTTAAAAGACCAGAGCAAGGAATTGGATACAAAAGTAAATGAGGTAAGTGTAAACTTCCTCATTTCAGCTCAAACATTCAGTTGGGGTGTTTGAAGGAGTCTCTCTGCCTGTTTGGGACGTGGCCTTCGATGACCCCCGGGACCATGTTCAGCCTTCAGTATCTGATCTTCAGTTTAGGGAGGGGCAGGGCTGTCTTGAGAAAGGTTCATAAAATAACAATCCAAAGGTCTTCGTGTTTCACAACTGAGTGGGAACCAACAATGTGAGGTGACTACTAAAAGAGATGGTGTAACTGGAGGTGACAAGAACAAAGGTAGAGTGCCTGGCTGAGGTTCTTGCCGTTGTTTTGGGTTGCTAAGACTACATTGGAGCTTGTGCCAGACCCAGACACAACCCAGGGAGGGCCATCCAAGTGGACAGGACAGGGAAGGCAGAGCTAAGGTGCCCTGATCAGCTAAGAAAGTGCTGGCAGGGCCAGTTCAGGTTCATGGCCAAGGTGCCCCATCTCCAAGGCACATCCCTGGGGCAGAGGACACAGAAGGTCTGTAGCACCTTTATGCTGTCACTCAACTAGACACTCATCATGGTCTCACTGAGCAGGACATTTTATCCCTTCAAGGGCCATCAGCCCCAGGGCTACACTTACAGCCTGCTCCAGTGGCCTCCATCTCTCAAAAGTTGAAGACAGAAGTGGCCACAGGTGATCCTCTGACCCTGCAGTCCACACTTTAGGGAGCAGGCTCTAAGACTCTGGCAGTGGGCTGGGGTTGTGGCTCAGCGGTAGAGCACTTTCCTTGCATGTGTGAGGCACTGGGTTTAATCCTCAGCACCACATAAAAATAAATAAAATAAAATAAAGGTATTGGGTCCACCTACAACTAAAATAATATTTAAGAAAAAAAAAGACTCTGGTAGCAAATACAAGGTGTTGTGGGACCCAAGCTTGTAATGAAAACATATGAGGTGAGTTGGACATTTGCCTTTTAAATGTAGAGAAAATGACTTCACTTCCTTAAGTTTTCCCTTCAAATTATTTATTTATTTATTTATTTAAAAAATATCTTTATTGTTTAGTTGTAGATGGACAATACCTTTATTTATGTGGTACTGAGACTCGAACCCAGTGCCTCACACATGCTAGGCAAGTGCTCTACCACTGAACCACAGTCCCAGCCCCTAAATTTTTTATTGAAATATTTTAATTGACAAATAAAAATTGTATATATTTATGGTGTACAATGTGATGTTTTATTAAGTACACACATTATGGAATGTGAAATCCACAATGTAATTAATTTAATTTACATATGCATTACCTTACATACTTATTTTTCAATGGTGAGAACACTGACGATCCAGTCTCTTGGATATAAAGCCAGTGGAAGTACTGGGTCACAAGATAGTTCTATTTTCCATTTTTAAAAAATTATTAAAGAAACATCCTATTTTTCTTAGAACACATGGTTCAATTTTTTATTTCTTCTCTTTTGATAAACACATAAGAAAAAATGTTTTGTTCTCACAGTAAGAAAAATAACAGTATATGTGCAAGGAGAAATGGCATTTGCCAATCACCCAAGATGCTGGGGGGACAATAAGAAGGGGAATGGGCAGAAGTGACATGCTGCAGCAGGCCCAATGAGGCCTGTTTTGTTGAAGAGGAGCTTAAAATCTAGGGTTTTACCTTACACTTTACATTGTACATGGACATGGGGGCCACTTATAGGAAATCTTCCAATTTCTAAATATTGACACCAATATTAAAAAACATGCAGGCTTGAAATTCCTTCTCAACATTCCTACTGTGGTCTTCTGGATTCTGCTTGCATCTCCTTGGGTTGTGGAGCTGACTCCCATGGAAGCAACCCTCCCCAGCTGTGGGCTTCTGTGACTAATAGAAACAGACCCTTCCAATAAAATTGAAATTGATCTCTCTGCAGTACACCTGTCCTAGCCTCTGCCATTTGTCCTCACCCTAGTCTCTAGGCCACTCACTCACTCACTCACTCGCTCTCTGGTTCATCCCTGGGCTCAGCTGCACTGCCATCTGTTGAATCTAGTGGCTCATAGTGCTTAGAGCCTTCTTCCACCTATGACCTGGAACAGAAGGAGGCCCAGAGATCCTTAGATTCCCCATCAGGAATACTGCAACATCTCCACTCCTCTTCTAGATGGAAGCTGCCTCAGGGAAGAAGTTCCTTCAAAATCTTTTTGTTTTTTCCTTTTAGGTGTAAAATTTTATTATAGTAAGGGTTTTAATGTCAATAATAATTATTCCACCCAAGCAACTAGCAGGGACAATTCTAACAGTTCACTAACACAGATACAATTTTCTTTGAACAATGAAATGCTATCCCAGCCAGCTTGGGCACCAGCCAGATATATTTGCAGAATATCCTTTAGCTAGAAATTCATTGCTCAACCATCGGTTGAAAATCTTTACATGCAGCTCTCCTGGGCAGCAGCCTGGCCCAGTGAACAGTGAGCACAAACTTTAAAGGACTTGTGGCCCCAGAAAGTTACTTATGACCCAGTCTCAGTCTCCCCTTGGGTTAAATAGGGGTGTTTATACCCACTCCGTGGCATATTCTGAGGTTTTATAAAACATTTTTAAGGGAAAAGTGCTACACAGTGTGAGGACTATGGTGAGTGGTATCTACATTAAGGATGGAGAGAACATGGATTCCCACAGGGCTAGGTTTGAATCCAGACTCAGTCAATCTCTATGAGACTCAATTTCCTCATCTATAAAATTGGAATAAATAATCTACAGACCTGTTTTTTGGATTCAAAATGAGAAATAATGGAGCATGTTCAGTGTCCTGCCCAGTGGGTGGCCTGGAAGGTGCTGTGACTGTTGGTGTTACAGACAGCCAGTAGAGGGCAGCAAACTACTCCGTAAATGAAACCCGCCTCAGGTGTCCTGGAGCAAACCCAGAAACCCTTTATACCGCAGGCTGCAGGAGATCCATCAAGTGTGTAGGTCTACAAACATCACACTATTCCTTTTTTATGGGAGAGTTAGAAATTACACTTTACATTGTACATGGGGGTGGGGGCCACTTGTCAAAATAAACTTGGAGTTGGCAGTGGAACGATCTCCCCAAAGCAAAAGGCTCACAGGAAGTGGGTTCTTACCCTGGCCCTAGTCCTGTTGCTGTGTGACCCTAGAACAATCACTAACTTGTGTTTGACCCGCTCTTGTAGCTGAGAGGGTCGGGCCATCTCTAAGGGACCTTCCAGCTGTCTATGACTAAGAGTCTGGGACAAATAAATGCATGCAGGGAATAGTGGTTGGGGTAGGGTCTCCGACTAAACGACCTGTGGATGCCCTCGCCAAGGCTGCGAGCTGATGATTTATTCAGTCCAAGGAAGCCACATACAGCCTCAACCTGGCCTTACAAAGGAGTGCAGTCGGAGCTGTTGGGTGGTGCTGATGTTTTCCTGCCGGAGCACATGATGCTTATCATCTTTTGTGCAGGTCGATGCTGAAGCCAGGAGACCACCCAGCCTGACAAAGAAAGGAATTCTTGTCTGCAGTTGACAGCCCTCAGGTTGACGGCTTTCCATTTGCCCCGGAGGCTGTCACTCGCAGAACAATGGCAGCGAGCAGGGTGGCTCTCACCTGAGACTGGCGCTGCCGCCAGAGGAGGGGGCAGCCGGGATGGGGGTGTTGTCTCTCTTCCCAAGATGCAAAGGTTGTAAGATCACTGCCGCCTGCAGCAGGCCTGCTCAGGGAGGCTGCGGAGGATTATTTTCTGCGTGGCTGGCGTCTCACTCTGCAGACAGAAAGCAGTAAACAGCAGAAGGTTACTTCTCATTAAAAAAAATAATAAATTATAACAAATGACTGTAACAGAAACATGAATATATCTCAAAAACATCATGTTAAGCAAAGAAGTCCGATGTAAAAAAGAATGCATGCTGTATGATTTCCATTTCTATGAAGTTCTAGAGCAGGCAAAATGAAGTTATGGTGATCGAAATTAGGTTAATGGTTGCTTTCTTAGGAGAGCAGAAGGTTGACCATAAAGGGATGCCAAGGAACTTTCTAGGGCATGGAAACATTCTATGCCCTGATTGAGCGAAAACATGAATGGACATACTTTTGTAAAATAGTAAACTATGTGCTTAAAATCAGTGCATTTTGCTGTATGAAAACTACAGTGTTACAATAGCCTTGATTAACAAAGCTGAATTGCAAAATAAATTAAAAGATCTTTTCTCATTCTCAAAAGAAACACATGTTGACACTAAAAGACTGAGAAAATACATTTTTAAAGAAAATTTAAAAATCATCCATAATTCTATTACTCAGAGGTAAACATGGTTATCAATTTTATATTGATAGTGCCAGTTATTTATTTTTACACACACATACACTCACAAACGAGAGCAGTTACATTAGATGTGCAGTTAAAACTTCAGAAGAGGTAAAAGAACATCAAAAATCTGTCTTTCCCATCCCACTCTCCAGGATCAGTCACCACCACCAGTTACTTTTATGTTTTTCTAAAAATACATGTGTATGATGTTCCTTAAGTGGAAAACAGCGTTCTACACACACAGCTTACATTTATACTAACCTGCATTTTTAACACAATATGACCACATGAATCTTTCTATGCTATTAAAATCTTTGTACATTGTCATTTTACACAGACTTTGGACTAAAGTAGAACACAGAAACAGAAATGCACAAAATCATAACAGTGGAGTTCAAAGCACTTTCACAAATTGACTCTCCTATCTGGTACCAATATAAAAATAAGAGAACATTTCCAGAATCCCCCCAAATCTTTTGGGTCCTCTTCTACTTACTGCATCCCCTCCCCTCAAAAGTAATACAATTCTGACTTCTAGTTTCTAGTTGGTTTCACATGGTGTTTGAAATTTATATGGTCTACTTATACATTTTTTTATGCCTATATTCTTGCATTTGACAACATAGGAGTAAGATTTGTTCATGTTGCATATAGCAATAATTAATTCACTCATTGCCATATATAGTATTTCTTTAAATAAATATTTCACATTATTTATCAATTCTATTGTCAATGGACATGTGGATTGTTTCCAGATTTGAGGCTATTTTAGCTGCTATGATCATTCTTTAGATGTCTTTTGGTGAACACATTCTGTTATTGTTTGGTCGTAGTATATGCACATGTTCAGCTTTAGTAAAAACTACCTTTGTCTCCCAAAACTGGTTGCACAAATTCACACTCTTACCTGTAATGTATGTGAATTCCAATTGCTCTACATCCTTACCCACAGCATCAATTTTAATAACTACATGGAATTTCATTATATAGGATGCTGTATATTATTTACCAGATTCCTGTAGATTGGAGGTTCTTTGCCCATGAACTTCTTACACTCTAATAAAGCCTGAGGACCCCCATCTCAGAATACAACACAGTAGAACAAAAGTTTATTATTAACTCACTAAATAGCATCATCTTGTAAGACCCTGTTTCAGAATATGACATAGTAAAATATGAACTTTATACTACTAGATGGTGTTATGACCTAAATAATACCATCTAGTAGAAGTTCTAATAATTATAGTAATTTCAAAATGAGCCTAAGTATAAAAATATGGGGTTGCTATAGCTCAGTGTAGAGTACTTGCCTAGCAAGTGTGAGGCCCTGGTTTGATCCCTAAAGCACTATGTATTATATAGTTTATTGGCCTTTGCTATGCTTCTCCTATGAATGTATGTTCTTGACTTTTGCCAATTTTTTGAATGGTCCATTTATTTTAAAATTTTTATATAATGGCTCATTATTTATGGATATTAGTTCTATGCAATATTATCATTTTTTTCATTTGTCATTAGCTTTGCCATTTTGTGCTCTTCAGAATGCAGGAAAGCCCTGTTTGGTGAGATGATAGTTGGATTAAATAAAGGCAAAGCAGGGAAAAGGGACTGTTTTATCCTTGCAGTGATCCTGGGAGATTAACCGTGGCCCAGGGCTCATTAGCTCCATTTTGCAGATGAAGAAACAGAACCCCAAGTGCGCAAAAGCTGAACTCACAGGATAAGGACATGTTAGAGCTGCATCTCAACAGCCCCCAACTCCTGACTTGAGGCCTCGAAATCCCCTGTTCTCCAAGGAAAGGGAGTCAAAGGTCCAAGGTGTGTACACAGACAGCCCTTGAAAGGAATGTGGGGTTTTGTGCTTGGGTTTTTCCTCCTGTCTCTAAGCACGCTTCACATGCCAGCAAAGGGCGTGCATGTGTGTGTTGGGGGGCAGGGGGAGTTGCAGGGCTGCGTGTCATTCCTAAGCCATTTTATAGAGGAGGGCAAAGCCTGCAACCTGTGATGGAGCTCCAAAGTCCCTCCTGGTCTCCTGGTGTCTCGCCAGAACTGAATAACTGCAAGGGAATGGCTCAGGGCACCACATAACATCCAGGATGGGAACTGAGCTTGGGTTCATATAATGCGACTCATGAAGCAATTCACTGAGATCTGTACATGAGATTTAAATTCATAAATTACTCCTTTGATTACAATAGAGATAGACAAACTCTCTGCTTCGTGACCTCAAAACTAAAAATCAGGACTGGGGTTGTGGCTCAGATGTAGAGTGCTTGCTTAGCATGCATGAGGCACTGGGTTCGATCCTCAGCACTACATACAAATAAAATAAAGATATTGTGTCCACCTATAACTAAAAAATAAAAACTAAAAAGATAGAAAAAGTCTTTGCATGCCTATGACATTGCATACATTAATGTAATCACTTTATGGTAATAAAAGATGGTGGGGGACATTAAATGCTTTGGGCAAAGGCTACAAATTGCATACCCCTCTTGAAGATTCACAATGATAATTAGTATATTTGAGGCTCCACGAAGTTGTACAAATTTGAGTCTGTTGACTACTTTAGTCCTAGGGTTTATCTAATGTCCCTGGACTACTGAAGCTTTTCTCAAATAACATCCAAGACCTCTTACCAAATGACACACAGTTCCATGTAACTTAATTTTGGGGCATGCCACTATAGAACACACATTTCTCTTACACACATTTACTAGTAACACTTGCAATATTTTAAAACAATATATTAGTCCATCTGTTCCAGTTTATGACTGAACAATGCTAATAGTGTTTTTGAACCTGAATATGATACAGGTGAAATTCTATTACAATGCCTTCCAGGAGGCTTCCCAAATTCTTTTACAGTTGTGTTGTCCTTTTAAATGTATCAAATATTCTTTACATTGGGTGTACTATTTTCAGAAAATGCTTTTTTGATCATGTAGATATTTCATCGTGAGATTTATTTTAGTATACTTTCATGATATTGCACTTTTCAGGTAACTCACATTTGCTATCTTTATTAGCATTCATAAAATATCTTATTTTCAAACTTTTCAGTGCTATTAATTTTTATGAAGTTGTTTTATGGAATTTTCATGAAAATATGCAAATGGAATTTTCCTTTGGGACATTAAATTACTTCTAAACAGAATTTTTTTTCAGTATAAGAGTAATTGAGGAGCCCTGTAAAGTTTTCAGAAAATATAGAAAAGTAGAAAAAAAAATTCATTATCTACTCTCTCAAATACAACCACTAGGAACATCTTCACGGATCCTTTTCTTCTATGTGTATATAGTATTTACATGAAGATCGCACTTCGCCATTTTGTCTCGTAATGTTCTAGCATTGTTTTGGATACATGTGTAAACAAAGAAAACAAGATGAGACTGTGCTTTCCAAGGGATGTTGGTGGATTCAGTGACTTGGGTGACTGCTGTTTGTGAAGTGGAGAAAATGCAGGTAAATGGCTCGACCACCAGCTGTGTGCTTTGCGTCTCCTCCTGAGTTGGTAATAACATGAGCAATTGCATATTATTTTAGAGTTGGAAGTCAGGGTAAAATACAGAATCTGATGTGTCCTGATGAGAACCTCATGGAGATGAGGTAGTTGAGACCCAGGGGCGTCAGTGCTTTGGCTAAGATCCCTTGCAGTCGGCAAGTGACAGCTCCAGAATCTGAGTCTTGGAAAGTCTTGCAAAGACCAAGGCTTTCTGCCTTTCTGCGCAGACCTGCTCCCCTGCTTTCAGGAGGCATAAAATGCATGCAAAATATCAAACAGAAGCGCAGCTATCTTTGGCTGCGTGGATTGGGAGATATTTCAATCCAACAGAATGAATGGGTTTATTACCAAATCCTCCTAATTCCTCAGTCAATGCATCTGAGCGCAGTCCTGGGCCCTCCGTGGCTGGGTTGTCACCTGTGGTTGATGGGAGCTGTACATTCACAGGGAGAAGCACGCAGGCCTGGGAGGCGGCTTTGGGTTTCATAATGGCCACAGGTGTTCTGGTCTGCCTTTCTGCTTCACCCTCTTCACACTTTGCCAGACGACAAAGATGGGATGACAGGATGACTGAAGACTGCTTTGCCTTTCTCGGGTTTTACATGACTGAAAGGATTTGCTATGTGAGGCAACTTGCATCTTCCTGCTGCCTTCCCCTGGGAAAGTACGACTCTCAGAAACTTGGAATCCACAGGGTAATTCAGGCTTAAATCTGGGTAAGGAAAGTTTTTTTTTTTTTTTTTTTTTTTTAAATAGGGTGAAATTAAAAGCATGTTCTAACCAAGCCACATGTGAGATGGTAGGAATTTGCTAGTAACAGCTAGAGAATACTAGGAAAGAAACCAAATTCTATTTGTATTTCTTTAAAACAAACAAATTTCCTCATGAAAGAATTGCCCTTTGCCATTTGACAACATTACAAATGAATACGTTTCCAAGTCAGAGGTTAATAATTTTTTTTTTTTTTTTTTTTGGTATCAGGGATTGAACTTAACCACTGAGCGACATCCCCAGCCCTTTTTTATATTTTATTTAGAGACAGGGTCTCACTGAGTTGCTTAGTACTTCACTAAATTGCTGAGGCTGACTTTGGACTTGGGATCCTCCTGCCTCAGCCTCCCAAGCTGCTGGGATTACAGGTGTGCACCACTGCATCCAGCTGAGATGGGAGATTTTGAACACATAACCCCTGAGGGTCCTTTTAGCATAGTGTCTACTATTTTATATCAATCCAATTTAAGAAACATCCTCGATCATGTCTTATGACAGACCTTACCCCCAGGCTCTCCTGAGGCACAAGATGCACGTTCCTGCCTGCACAGAGCCAGCTGTTCACTGAGAAAGCTGAGGCCAGGGAGAGGCTAGCGAGATGCAGCTGTGCCTGGCATACGGCACAGGAGGTGTGGTGGCCAAGGAAACCAGGGAAGGGAGAGTGTGTCCAAATGAAGAGAGTCCATAGGAGAGAGGGCATTTGTTTGGCCTTGAAGGGTGAGAGGGATGTCACCACATAGAGACCAGGAGGCCAGGGGCTCTGGGCAGGGGAGGAGCATGTCCACAGCAGGGAGCAGGGCCCAGGCCCTCCCATCTTTTGCACTGATGTCACTGCTACTCATATGGCTGGTTGGGCACACTTCTCAGATCAGGGCTTTGTCCACTTGGAGTCAGTTAGTGTAGGCTTTGCTGACAGGCCTAAGAGAGACGGCTGCATTCTTGTCATTCCAGGGTCATTTCTGATTTGTCCGCCTGTGGTATATTCTTTAGGTGTTGATGGAGACCAAGGTTACAGAGCATCCATGAGCCAACTTTGTGAACCACTGAAGATGGTCTAGTGAGCCTTGTGGGAATGCAGGGGATCAAGAATGCAGAGAATTGGCCTTGTGCATGAGGCCTCTTATGGGGGAGCAGAGTTACCTGGGCAGCAAAGCAGGACTCCAGGCCTTTGCCCAAACTGTTGCCTCACCCACAACATGTTTTGTCTCAAGTACAAAAATTCCTGCAGCAACAGTGCAAGAGGGTCTTCAATAAAAGGCGTAGAAACTCAAACTCACTTCTTTACACTGCAACTTTGGCCAAGATGATTCTTCTCAGTGAGCCTCAGTTTTCCTTTTCTATAAAATGGGGATCCTACTGTTTTCCTACTGAGATCAGAGTTATCACATGGGGTTACAAAGGAAGAATCAGGAACCAACTTAGATATAGCCTACCCCATCCCTTA